GGGAGGGTGCATGATTGTAATTATATTTCACCTAGTGGTAAAATAAACCATAAAAAAAGATGGAAGGACCTTGTGCTGAGTCTTCTCTTTGGGGTGAAGAGGAGCATAAAAGACTTCTTTACAGATTGCGCGTATATTGTAAACAAAGACAATTTCTGACTGTTGAGTACTTTATTGAATTGTTTAGTATTTTATTGAATTGTTTACAATTCAGTTTACAACTTGTTTACCGGACCAAATAAGCAATAGCAGCTTATCCTTCAAGAATTTAAAAATTCTTCAAGATTTTAAAAACTTTTTGTGACTATAAGAATAGAAAATCATGCAGTGTATATCTATCACACTTTTCTGTTACTCAGGGTCTCCATATCCCAAACAGGTAGCATTTATTCTGCCTAGCCTACTTGTATAACTTCCACTTTGCAAGTTAAGTTATACCTGGATATAAAACACAACTGCTCTTTATGCAAAGCTTTATAAATATAAAAGAAATTATTTGTGAAAAATGGGTATTTACATGCAGACCTCAATTTTTCAGTCTGAATTCAGGTCAATTGATTCTGGAACATGGACAGCTATGTCTCCTCAACACTGACCGTTTGGATGCCAAATGAAATCTCAACTTTCTATTAACAGCCTTTCCAACTACATAGCTGTTCATGAAAATATTTTAATAATAGAATAATATTTTAAAACAAAAAATGATATATTTTTAATCCTCGTCATGTGCAAAGATATCTGGATCATTTGCATTCGGTCTTTCCAAATAAATTCAGATTTGGTCAAGAGCCCTGGGGGCTAAAGATGCAACCAAGTAAAACAGAAAATATTGACAATCAAAGCTATTATGAATTTTTAATTAAATACAGCTGCTGCCTTTCTCTTCACTAGTTATGACATTGCCCAGATCTTCGATGAGAGATTTACCCTGATGGGAAACACACTCAAAGACTCATCATCCAAATGTTAAAGTAAGCTGGCTGATGATCATCCAGAGATTCTTTACTTACTCTCCACCATATTTTTAAATTATGGTGGTGTCATGTATCAGTGTTAGAGGTGGCAATTACCTGCATTCAAAAATACATGCTTAGAGCAGTCACACCTTGAATTTCAGATCTAAGAACAGCCAGAGGGGTACATGCTGTACACACTAAAATCCAGTTGCTAGAAGCCTGCATGTGTGGAAGGGAAATATTCACTCCCTGTGTTTGTGTTTTGAAAATGAAAAGGCAGAGGATATCTCCTTGCTCTGAGTTTAATGGTTCATTTATACTACTACAGTGTCCTATAAAGTACCGTACATATGGTGCCTCCTAATGTACTTGGGAGAAAAAAGCAAAAACTTCCTAGGGGTTAGAAGGTTACATCAGTGGGAGGGAAGCCTAGTTAAGCACTAACTATATGACTGTTCAGCAGCAATTTTATTTCATACCTCTTGCCTGAGGCTATAGCTGTCAGCAATGACAGCCTCCTCAGTGGTAGGTGTGTGCTCTGGTTGCATGAGTGTTACCGGGTGAAGAATGCAGGGTGCAGAGAATACACCACATAACATAGGAGAATGAATGGGAGATCAAAACAGTTTTTGCAACTACTCCAGGGATGGAGGAGGGCTGAAGAGGAGGAATCCAATCTCCATCTCCCACAGTAGGAGGATTTCCTCAATGGTGGAAGCTAAAAGATGGTAATTCTGGACAGCAGAAAACTCTTTCTCCACCTGCAGATGTGGAAAAACTGTATACCTCTGGCAAGAGGAAACTGCCACTAGTTACTGTAATGGAAATGTACATGTAGCCAAATCTGTTGTACTTGTTGAGAGAGAGGATTTCTCCTTCCCAGACAGATAAAGCTGGCTTTGCTGGGATGGAAGACCCAGGGGTTATTCCCACCCTGTCATTGTTCCTCTGACCCTTACTCAGTATTTCTGTTTAATTTGATTAGCCTTTAGTTAGATAACCTCATCTTCACAATGAGAGTGGTCAAGCACTGGAAATGGTAGTCCAGAGAAATTACAAAATCTTCCTCCTTGGAGATCCTCAAACTGGCTAGAGAACAACCTGAGCAAGCTGGTCTAAATTTGAAGCTAGCACTGCTGTGAGCAGGAGGTCTGACAACCTGACCTCCAGAGGTCTCTTCCAAACTCACTTTTTCACCTCTGCAAAAAGTGGCTGTTTATAGCAGTGACTGTGTGCCGAAAGGGAGCACTTGAATTATGTCATATCTTTTCAACCCCATTGGATCACTCCTAGAATATAATAAACTGCAGTTAAGTGCAGACCTATAGTGCCTGAACTCTGTATTACCTGATTTCATAGTACTACAGTCAATTGTCAAAAAACGTGGACTCATCAGTCAAATAATAATGTTTACCAGTGCATAGCATGCTGTAGAGCTTTAATGGTCTTTAAGTATCAAAAAGCCATAAGGGATAGTATTCCTATTATCACTGTGGCACAATATTGGGAGAGGCTGCATTATTGAGAGGTGAACGTAGGCTTCCTCTTTATTTCTTCCCTGGATATAAACTGATGCAATCTATCACAATTTAAATGAATCATTTTGAAATGTAGTGGGCTCTCAAATAATTTAAAGTCAATGAGCTAATAGTGGAATCAACTTGGCTCTCACATTCATATTCATAGTTTATGGTCTGCTTGCTGCATGTACAGCAGTGCTTATGCTGCTCTTTAGCCATTGGCATTACACTAAGAATGATGAAGCAGAAGTTCCCAACAATACAGGCATGAAAAGCAAATACCAAGCTCTTTTTTTTTTTTTTTTTGACTGCTTAACAATTGGAAATCCTCATGAGAACTGAGAGCTCCTTCTTTTCTTTTCTCTTTTCTTTTCTTTTTTTCTTTTCTTTTCTTTTCTTTTCTTTTCTTTTCTTTTCTTTTCTTTTCTTTTCTTTTCTTTTCTTTTCTTTTCTTTTCTTTTCTTTTCTTTTCTTTTCTTTTCTTTTTTCTTTTCTCTTTTCTTTTCTTCTCTTTTCTTTTCTTTTCTCCTTTTCTTTTCTTTTCTTTTCTTTTCTTTTCTTTTCTTTTCTTTTCTTTTCTTTTCTTTTCTCTTTCTTTTTTGAACCAATTGCAGGACAATAAAGCTCCATAACCACTCCTCAGCTGCATTTTGCTAAACCAACACACCACACCCTCTGACATTTGCTTCTATCCAGGAGAAAGAAAAAAAGAAACTTTCTTCTGGAGCAGCTAAATCCAATTCATTAGGCCAAAGCAAAGGGTTGCTCATGCTTTCTTTCTTTCCTTAGGCTTTTTTTTTTTTAATGCATTTGTGTGGAATTATTTTTTTATTCATGAAATAGCCAATACTAAAAAAAAACAACAAAATTTTGTTCTATTTCCCTCAAATCTTTCATGTTTGTGTGTGTGTGTGTTTGGGCATGCATAAATTTACTCTTAAATAGACAATCACTAGCTTTTGTCTCAATTGTGTTTCCCTCATTTCTCCTCTCTCTCTCCCTCCCCTTCCCCCCCCCCCATCTACATTTTTATTCTCTTGTTATTTTTTTCTCTTTTTTTTTTTTTTTTGAATGACAAAGGAATTGATGAATCGTTTAGGTTCCTATAAAATGTTTTTGTTTTCCTTGAATGCTTGTTTTTCAGATACTAGAAAAATCAACCTATTGCACGTTCTGGGAGTGTTTTAGAACTGCGTCACTTTCTTGAAAAAACAGAATTTGAATGAGTTCAGTCAGTGGTTCTAACCAAATTACAACATGAACAGAAACAGTGAATGAAAGTATTTCAAAATAATACAAATTTACAGATGGGGAGGCCCAGTAAATATTCAACACATTTCAGAGTTGAAGACAGAAAATGAGCATTTGAAGCATGAATCAGGATTACTTGTAAACAAACAACAAGAAAGAATGTAGCATTCCTCCTGTTGTTGGAATATTTACATTTCTTTGTTTCTGTTTAGACTTTTTCTAAGGTAATTATAAACCTATTACTTCATTTCAAACAGGCACAGGCAGTTGCCTGCTGTCATTGCTGTCAGGCCCACATTATTGAGAGTGCAGAAGTGATTCTTTTTTTGTTCTTTTGAGGTCTTTAACCTGGGCTCTCTGATTGCAGCAAAAGTACAGGAGCTTCAGTTCCTGTAAGCTTCTGCAGCATGGCTCCTCAACTGCCACAGTTCTCACAAATCCTCAGACCTCATTTAAAGAAGGATCAAGATGACGAATAACTAAATAGCAAGATTAAATGGCTATCCCTTCATAACCTTCTGTACTGTATTTTTGTAATACCTTAATTAATATTCAACATTTCTGGCAAAAACATCTTCCAGATGTTAATGCATTTTTCCATATTTAGTTGCCCTGAGATACATGTACAGTGCATGCAAAGATTTATACTTCTCTGCGCTCTAATACAGATATGCATAGTTGTAGATACTATTTTCCCTGTTATTAAAAAGATAATAATAATGATAAAAAAAAAAAATAATTACTACTCCAGTATAGAATGAAATGAAGACCAAGCTACAGATCTTAAGAAAGTAGCCTTTCTGGAATCAGAAAGTGTAGTGCAACAAATTACTTATAAAGTCATCTCTCTTCCGAAAGTGCTCATGCATTGCCAGTTTGTGAATATTTCATTTATTCACTTGCATAAATGCATAAATGCATCAAGGACATTTGTTATGAAAACTTTATTTCATCTTTGTTTCTCTCCCCCTTCTTCATCATGTTGTTTTCTGATGCAATACAAGCCTTGACCCAGAAGAACTTGATAAAATGAGGTAGAATAGGCTTATTTTATGACATGAAGATAAACCTCCCAAAAGGAACACTAAGCACATATTTAATCTTCTCTTACAAAGATTTGTGTTTATTTGCATGTCTTTTAGAAGTTGGCCCTTTAGTTCTTGAGAATAAAAATGGTAAGTTCAACTGATGTTAACTAAATGTTTCAAAGTTATACCAGAATAAAATATAGGTCATTCAGAAGACTTTAGTAGATACAACTTTCTCTAGAAGGCTAGGTGTAAGAAAGAATTTATTCCTCATATATGTACAGATGCTGGTACCCATGCTGAAGATCACTAAAAAGATCCAATACATATAAAATTTGGCTATGGAAACAATGATATCCGTCTAGCAGAAGCTTGTTGAAAATTCCCCATAATTTTCAACTATGTTATCCAGAAAATAGAATAAATATCAGAAAATGTATTTTAATTGCTAAGAGAGTGCGCCGTTAAGAAAGATAGCTCTTCTGGTTAGAAACTGCTTTGATGCTTAGCATTACCTGTGTTCTCTAATAGCATTTAGTAGAAATTTCAACCAGCTTGTTAGTGTCATCCTACCCCTAGGAATCTTCAAAATACTTTCCACTTTCTTAACTATTGACAGCATGACTTCATGTATTACAAATTCTTCCGATTTTTTTATTATGCAATTAGCCATTGTCCACAAAGGATTTTGAGAAGGAGGAGGACATATATATGCAGGCAGTGCTTTTCATCTTGTATAGCTTCTTGGTGTTTAAGTATGGATTGCACCACCAGTCTCTCAGTGACATGTGGCAAGAGCCATGAAACTTTGTTCTACTTATACTTACATTTACCAGTCCCTTTAGCAGCTTGAATATTCTCCAGACTTATTTCATTAACATCTTCAAATTTTGTTTTCATTTGGCTTGAAAAAGAAAAAGGGAAAAAGAAAAGAAAAAATCTGTAGGTTTCTTAGGCTTTGTAAGGACCAGACTGTCTTGATCCACATAACTTTTTAAAGGCGATTTTCGCTTTATATTTACTTTCTTTATCAGGCCAAGTGTGTGATGTCAGGCCCATTGTGTATTTCAGGCCCAGTGTGTGTGATGTCTTTCTTTTTTTTCTATCTTTCATTGAGAAACAGGCTGGCACAGATTTTTTTAAAGGTTATTCTTGTTTCAAATCTATATTCTTGATCTTTGATCTGTCACAGTATGAGATTTTTTTCTTCTCTGTTTTTTGTACTAATATCCATCTCTGCAATAGCTTATTTGCCATCCACTCTGGTAAGATCTTGTCAAACAAGACAACAGGAGGCTGCAGCAGCTGCAGACATCCTCATCTCATCCTGTCCTCCTCCATTTTTTTTTAAGTAGGAACAAATTCTCTGAAAATGAACAAACACCTATGTAAATTTGAAACTATCACCAAGGGCTAATTGAAAGACCAGAGTCTCAAAAATAATTACGTATTCTCCCTTTAGATATGAGAAAAAATATATAAATCATTCAAGGCTAGAAAGTAAGAAATAAATTTGAATACAATCAAATGTCAGAATTAATGACGGTTCCAAGTTTTTCTGTCATATAACCTTAAATGTTTTAGGCCATTGAGAATAACAGCTTTGTCTTAATCAAAATTAGAGCTGTTTTTGCAAGAGAATGTTCAAGTAACTCTAGGGAGTTGCTCATTAAAATAATGTAGTTGTCATTATCCATAACATCTTAGTGTTTATAAAAAAGGCAAAGCACAGAAATCTACCTTGTTATCTTTAAAACAGTGCTTTCCATAAACATTCTATGATACTTTGATTTGTAATGAGTATGACTGATTTCAGTCATTTGCTAGGTGCCTTTTTGAATGAAGTCTGATTTAAACCATCTTTGGTCACCACTTTGTATTGCATTGTACAGGGAGCTATGGACAAATTACTTGTACTTGTTGAACAGTAAACCGTTGAGATTGTCCTCTATGCTATACCAATAGCAGTTATTAACTTGATCTCTGTTCCTGACTTTTCTGAGTCACCTTGAGGGTTACATGACATCCACAGAACCATAGAACTATAGAATAGTTAGGGTTGGAAAAGACCTTAAGATCATTTAGCTCCTCCTGCTGGTCACACTCCTTTTGATGCAGCCCAGGATACGGCTGGCTTTCTGGACTGCCAGTGCACCCTGCTGGCTCATGTTCATTTTCTCATTGACCAGCACCCCCAAGTCCTTCTCCACAGGGCTGCTCTGAATCTCTTCTCTGCCCAACCTGTAGCTGTGCCTGGGATTGCTCTGACCCAGGTGTAGGACCTTGCACTTAGCATGGTTAAACTTCATACTGAAAATATTAAGAAATAACATTAAAATACCGCCAGATTATCATCCCACCAGTCAGCTAAATTTGAATATGAATGGGCATTATCAGGTGATTCGTGTGGATATTCCTTGTGGAATCATTTCCTGTCTTTGGTTCTGTCATTGATTCATTTCTTCCTCCACTTTGTAAATTTAAAAGCCAAAGTGGAAAGATACATAGACTCTAAACAGGATGAAATCCCATTTCCCTACATTCTCCGCAATGTGTCTAATATGTGTGTGGTCTCTGTCGAAAAGGTATTAGTAAAGGCTAATACACAGTTGCTGTAATTACTTACAGGCTTCTAGAAAAAAAATAGAAAATGGACTTTATTTTATGCTTCTGAAGATACTGATACTCCTGTCAAACCTATCAGACTGATTCCTAAACCTAACCAAGCTCATTGCCATAATAAAGCACTTTTATCTCTAAGAGCACACTCCATAGAGGAAAAGTCACATGAAGAAGAAATACTTACATTACAACAGACTGGTATGCAGAGTTCTTTGAGTCATCATGTTATTGTTAAACCAGTCCAGCTCTCCTCTCTGTAGTGAAAAATAAAAGGAAAAAAGCATTAGTCGGTGGTTGTTCTGCACAGAAGACAGTGTTATGGATTCAGAGGGAAATCTGTTGTGTTATAAATCTGTTGATTTAACAGTAATCAAGGTGGATGACGTTCCTGGGAAGAATTAGTTGTTATCAGCTTGATCTGTTGATGATTAGCAATTTCATGTTGCTAGAAAAGCAATCCGTTTTGGATTCTTTCGAAAGTTTTAAATAACACTAATATTAAAAAAAAAAGAAAAGAAAAAAGAAAAAGCAACCAAAACCTCAGCAACAGCTAGCAACCAAGCTTTCAGTATCATCTATTTGTAAAACCCTTTTTGCCTTTTGCATTACCCATAAAAAATCCCCAACTCTATTTTATCTTATACACGTCTTAGAAATGAAAACCTTTGCATTTTCACTGGTATATTTTTAATTCATAAAGCAAAAGATGAAACCTAAATTATGAAGACATATGGATTGATATTCTTCTTTTTTTTTGTTAGTTTTTACAACTTTAGGTACCTGAAGAAGACTGGTCTTGTTAATTACTTACAGTGATTTTTTTTTTTCCTGAAAGTTAGGATGCTTTAAGGATGAGCAAATGCCTTTGTATAGTGGTAGAAGAGGAATGGAAAAAACACTTTGAGTGTTTTGATTTGTTTTCTGGGGGTGGGTTTTTTTTGGGGGGGGGGATTTTTTTGTGGATTTTTTTTTTTTTTTTTACTGTATGAGAGATGGGAATGAATTTGCTCAAATGAGTTAGAATTTAAAAACAACTGATAAAATTTTTCTTCCATCTTTCTCTTCTCTTTTTTTCTCTTTTGTGTGAAGTAAGAGTGCAAGAAGTAAGATTTATTTGGAAAGAAAATTGAGTCAGTGAGAGAAATGAAACTGTATGGTAAGAATAGTCTGAAAGTGAAAACCTAAAGGAAAAATTTTTGTGTTACTGACACTACGAAATATTGGAAAGCCACTAGAGGGAAATGCTGTCATTTTCATATTTCAGGACTTTCATTTCACGTTGATGAAAATTGAGTAACATCCAATTTTCCCAATATTGCAAGGCATTTCACACATTGTCATTTTCAAACAACAAGTGATTTCAAAAGTCAACAAGTTTAAAGCTGAGATTTGACAGTGGGGGTAGTTCTGTGAAAATTGAAGAGTGGTCCGATAACTACTATAGTGGTGTCCTGGGATTTGGAATTCATAGTTTTGCCATAGACTGTCTGATCTTGGACAAGATATTTGATCTTTATGCTGTGTTTCCTCATCAGTAAAATGGGAAAGTATAGCATTCACCAGTCTCAGAGGAAACTGTGAGGATAAATACATCAATTGTCAGGAAGAAAGTTCAGGAAAAAGCAGTTTTCATTTAGGCATACAAAACTGCTGATTTGAAATGTCACTGAGGTTCAACGGTTGAGACAATCAGATGCTTATGTAGCTTTATGTCATATGTAGCTTTAAATCACTGGAATTCCAAGTAGCTGCAAATAGCTGTGAAAAACCTTCAGCCCTCATAAAGCACTAACAGAATTTTCTAGTTATCAAATTTCTACTATAAACTATACTGAGATTAAAAAGATGCACAGAATATTATTATGTATGATTAAAATCTCCAAGTGGGATTGAATAATGTGTTAAAATACTAATAACTCTGAACAGAGAAATTATGTAAAATGAGGGAAAGTCTCTCTAGGTAAAGTGAAATAAAACTTTCTTTAGGAGTTTGTTGCTGTTTGGTTTCTGTGCACTTGTCAAACATGCACATTGTCTACAAGTAATTAGAGCCCATAATTTCTGATAAATTCTAAAAAAGCCATCAAGTTGTGCACCATTAATTCTAGTCACATGTTAGGTAATGGACTATAAAGGCCTTGTAGGGTTTTGTAGAGGCAGGGTGATGAAACATGGCTTTCCATACTTCCAGTAAATACCCCAAATAACAGTGTCCTGGAAAATAACATGGAAGAATTGTACAATTGAGGTGATGCACTAATCAGAGAACTATATGTCAGGAAAAACTCAAAACAAAACAAAACAGCTAAGCTACCTAGCATGAAAGTGTTCAACAGCCCTGCCTGCTTTTCAAGCCGTTTGTCTGTTGTCTATATAGTTCACGGTGTTTCTGCTAGAGCTAGGAGCACTCTTATTTTTGCATTTATATCTGTGTCTGTGCTCTAGTTTTGCAGGTTAATGTTAAAATACAGCTGTGTGAACTGTAATGTGCAGAAGTCAAACTTGGAAGATTTTGGCACAAGTTTAAATAAAGCACCTCAGTTTTGCGTCACTCTGTGGAATTATGTGAGTTCTAAGTGTATAATACTGACGTAGGGGAATTTAGCCTTACATAATATGAAACATATTTATGGTCATGAAAGTATTCCAGAGGAGTTTTTTTCTTATTTCATATTTACTGCTTATTTCATATTTACTGCATAGTTCATCTCTAACTTGAAGGCTTTTCTGCTGCCACTGTGAAGACATGCACATCACCTGCTCAAAACCAAGGTAAATGTCAGTCCTACCCTGTGCATCACCAGCAGCTTTGCCAGGCAAATGTTCTTACTTTCTTTGTAGTCTTTATGGTTCTGGATGAGGAAGACCTATGGAATGCTTTTTCACTTTGAGTATGGCATGGGTGGTAATCACTAAACTGTACTTGAAAGTCAAGGTAATCTTTAAGGTTTGCTTAAATGAAAAAAATGGTATGTGTAAAATATTGCATGCTTAGCTTAATACTATAAAAATAAATAGGTAGGTATTGAAAATTATACTTAAATGTCTTTCGCCCCCCATGGCTTTAATATTAAGAATTAAAAATGTGCTAAAGCTTTCAAGTATGACCGTCCAGTGATTTTAAATTACAAACAGTCATGACCAGAAAAATGTGTTTCAAGGCACAAGAAGACTTGAAACAAAGCATGACCAATTCATCAAGAAATATGTATAACAAATATTTTATAAATTAAATATTTTATATATAGTAAATATTTTTATATATTAAATATTTTTATATATTAAATATTTTGCAACAAGTGTCTGCTTTGCTGCTATTGTAAAAGGTCAAGAATATATGGAACATACTGAAGTCCCGGTGTCCTCAACATAAGGACATGGAGCTGCTGGAGCAAGTCCAGAGGAGGGCCACGGGGACAATCAGGGGACTGGAGCGCCTTCCATATGAAGACAAGCTGAGAAAGTTGGGGCTGTTCAGCCTGGAGAAGAGAAGGCTGCATGGAGACCTCATAGCAGCCTTCCAGTACCTGAAGGGGGGCTACAAAGATGCTGGAGAGGGACTCTTCACCAGTGACAAGAAATAATGGGTTTAAACTTAAACAGGGGAAGTTCAGGTTAGATATAAGGAAGATCAAGTCTTGTTTCTTCACCTGTGAACTGGGAAATGCTTACTGCATGTCAGAAGTATGTATGTACCAACTTCTTACTGCATAGAACAGACACAAAAAATACATGCTGGGCTCAAATGCAGTAGGTTAGAACTTGCATTGTCATTGCTGTTGCCCCAGCTCAGCCCAAAGGTTGAAATTATATAGGGGGCTCTTGACAAGTCTTTATTGCTTACATTTTGTTCTGATAAATACACTGATACATCATTATTACATTGATGAACAGTGTAGGCATGATCTTAGAGTAGTGATAGTGTGATTTTTTCTAGTGGTGTATTAGTTCATTTTCACATGCCTGTCCCCCTTCTGCCTCTGGAAAAGATAATTTGCTCTGTGCTTTATTGACTTCTTGGCTGCAGTAAGCCTGCTAATGAACTGAGTCAAAGCTCCCAGATAACTTCTCATGGTTTACCAAAACCAGGCACTAAGTATCTGGGCAGAGATAAAGAAATTATACAAATGTGAGTGGTGCCTTTTCTTCTAAACCCCTTCTGTCATCCAACCATTTAGTTTCAACCATTCATTTACATAATTTTTGTACTTCCTATAAAGCAGAAGCAGAACACATTTAGAACTGGAAAATGCAATAAAGATTTTTTAAATGACATTATCATCTTAACATCATCTTATTGATCTGTCCACTCCGTGAAAATGTAAGCTTTTCATTTTACCATCACGTTGGAGAAGGAAAACAAACCAGGCCTGACATATTTTTGTTGTTTCTGACATCGCTCCTTTCAAGACGTCTATCTGAACTCTCAGTATGCTTCTTTGCCTGTTTTAACACCTCTTTCTGCTTTCTGTCCTGTGGACTGTGAATGCCATTTATGTGCATAATATAGCACTTTCATAGTTTTTAACTGTCTGTACTTTTATGAGCTGTCTTTTAAAAAACCCTGAGAATTACTCGTTGTTATTTGTTCTGTATTTGTGTTATAATATCTATGTCTAATCAAGCCACTTAATCTTGTACTTGTCCATTCCTATTCTGCCATGGCACTTTCCTTGCTTTTATCTAGGTCAGCTGTCTAAAAATCTTTTTAACTTTGTCTCCTATGGAAAAGGGAACCTTTCTGAGCTAAATACTGACGACATCTAGTATCAGTGGGAAAAATCTGATGAGTTCCATGGTTTTTGTTTGTTATTTGTAGTTCCAGGTTTTTGCTTACTTGAACAAGGTTCTTTCTTATATGCTTATTTGTAATTATTAAATTTGTTTATCTTCGTTCCCCTTCAGTATTCCACATTCACCCATCTTTTGGCCACTTACATATTCCAAATGATTCTTCAGCTGTCCTGCTTACTGGGTAGGAATGAAAACATTGGGTAGCGTGAAAACATGCTATTTGCAAAAAGCCACATACCACCCAAGTTTGAGAAGCTCCTCTTCTCCACATGCTATCCCTGTTATTGGCACAAAGAAGAAGTGGAATGCATACTGAAAAGATCTAAATGTGTTTTTCCTGTCCATAATTCTGTTGTTGCTGGCTTTTGGCTTTGTCTGTGTCTATATCCAGGCTGTGTGCCTTTGAATATTTTACTCTTTGATGCTGATAAACTGGTTGCGTATGGCAGTGACAAGTGTGCTGTTCTATTCCATTACAATGCAACACTATGTGTTGACACTAATTGACCCAAAAATGCGAAGTTTTGCCCTTTGATTTATTTGTTTGCCCTTTCTCATCCTTCTGTTACACTCCACCTTTTTTTTTTTTTTTTCAGGAACAAGACTCAGTTTCCCATATATCTAGTATCTTGTAAAAAGAAGTGCTTCTTTAGCTTGCAATTATTCCATCCTTTTGTCACATATGGGTCTAATTTCAGGGCACTATTTCCACTTGACTCAAGCTTTTTATTTATTTTCCTTGATTATATCCATTCATTTTATGTTTGATGTTTTTGCCTTTGAATTATCATCTAGGAAATTCCCACACCCTTTTTATTTTTTTCTTCTTTAGTTTTTCATCTTAAAGATGTGACATGACCTTCTTCACCATCTCAGCTTCTGCCACCTGGGTGCTGATTTTTTTGAATATATTAACTTTTTATTTTTTTCAAGTTTTGTCACTTAATTTTGTCCCTCGGTTTCTTTCACCAGCCAAATATTCAAGTTAGTTAACTTGGTCAAGCTAGTTAACTAAGTCAAGCTAGTTAACTAATTTTGATTCAAAAACCATGCTCAACTTCTTTTCTTTTTTTGTTCAATATAGTCAGGTTAGACATATTCAGTTTTTAATTGGGACAAAACCCCAAATATTTCTATGTATTTTAAAATGAGGGCATCAAGGCTTCAATGAAAAGTAGAATGGAATGCACATGTAGACTGTAGTCTAGACAAATAGATTGCAAGGAGATTACAGGAAGACCTTAAGTAGAGTGACTACTTCTCAGTTGTGTACTTATAAGCTCTCATATTTGAGACAAAAAAAAGTGGACCTTAATATTAAGAAAGGTATGGGACAATCTGTTAAGAATACAGAAAAATAATTTTCTTATTCAGACAACAGCTATTTTCCCATTACAATTAATTGGGGAAGTCTTTGCTTAAATACAATCAGAAATCTCATGAAAGATGAAAACCTAAATTCTAAACCTAGTCATAATTAAACCCAGTTGAAATCAAGCAGATTATAATCATTGATATTACTATAATTTGGATACATGGGGACTGTTTTCTCCATTGAGAGGTGAAGTTAGAAGAATCTGGTTCAAATCTGGGATTTTGGCTTCCCCTCATCATAACTTCAAAACTAAACACTCAGCCAGGACCATCATTCCCTGATAATCAAATTTCCAAAACATGGTTTGAAGAAAATATTTCCCTGAAAGAATTCTTGAATTCTTGACTAGACTGAACTGGTGATATTGCTTGGGAGTGGAATGTTTCAGAGGCCATGAATAGTGTTCATACCTATAACCAGGAAAGGACCTATTGTAGCACAGAACAAATGGACTAAAAAGACAATTCAGATCCTATCCAAGCTAATTCAACCAATCTCATATTTGTCTACTGCCTGAAGTTCATGCTTTAGGATTATCTAAAAATTAAGTTAAAATCTAAAACAGAACAGTGCTATCTGTATTGTTACATTTTTCAGTACCTTTCTGCTGATCAGACTCAGTGCCTGGCTTTATCAATTGCTTCCAGACAGATTTTGTTTAAGATATGAGTGAAGGTCAACCTTAGAAAGTTTCTTGAGTTTTTTGTGTGTGGCAGACTATGAATTTCACTAGTGTTCTGGCATGTTGACGGCAAATTTCCATGGAAAACATAATTCCATCCATGGGACCAGTCTTTCTCATAGCAGATGTAGTCTTTAAATTGTAGCTAAGTTACCCACTACAAATACTAAGGAACTGCAGCAACATAAAAGACTGCTGAAGGCAGAGTCTCCTGCATAACTTGGCCATCAGTTGCTTAAATGGTGGAGGAATTCTGCCCCGGAACTGGATGAACTCTACTGTACTTAGCGGCATTTGTTATAGGCAGAGGAAATTTACTGTAAAGTCTTTAGAGGGTAAAGAAGCAAATTGAACTCCCAACACCATACTGTATTTCTGGAAAATTAATCTAAAATGTTTCCAAACTAAGTGGAGGCTTTAGGAGATTCCCATCTCCCCATTCCTCTCCTAAAAATACTGTGCAAATAGTCTGAGAGTTTTCACTGTTTTGTGGGCTAAAAGATGAAAGATTTATTTGTCATATTAAATGAGCCCCTTCAAATCAGTAACACTGTAAGATATAAAAACAAATGCATGTTTGTTTTGCTCCCTTTCCCATGCTGTTTGCTCCCCCTCCTTTTTTGTGCCCAATTTTTATTCTTAGAAGTATATAGTACTCAAAATATTATGATCCCTTCTGGCAACAGAACAGAAACATGGTTTCTATTACAGTTTATTACTTTTTCCCTTTTAACTTTTTTTTTTTTTAATCAATCCATACAAATCCCAAACGACTCAAGCCTTTTTTAGAAACTGTAGGTGAGATATGTTGTGGGTCTAGTTCTCCCATATTTCTATATGACTTAAACTGTGTATTTAGTTCCCTTGTGCACAATTAAAATTAAAGTACAATATGTATCTAGTTGTTAGTATTTTGAAAATGAATGGTTTTTGTTCTTTGATAGCTATTAAACAACTACCCTCTTTCGGTTTGTGTATACAGCATGCTTGGACATGTTCTATATAAAAAATAAGGA